AAAGGACAGCACTGTGCTTAACCCTTTATCCTTGTCGAGCAGCCAGGAGGGCTGGTAGTGTCTGCAGGCTGTGGAGCTACGAGCAGTTCTACAGGGGAGAAGAGAAATCTCTGCATTTAGTTTGCAAAAATCTAAGCTAACTCTTAGAGGAGCTATATGTCCCTAGCCCAGAAGGGGCTGTTGCTACTAGTCCGTAAAGACTGACTGCTTCCAAAGAGAAGAACAGTCCAGGATCTGTTTCTGTAAATAGGAAGGAAGTTGTTTCCTTTACATTGATTCATTCAAGTTGGGTATCTCATAATCTCCATTACCTGATCCAAGTTATATACCCAACTAAAATAACAAAAACCGAACGCATGGACTGTTCATTGACTGTGGATGCAAGTGTGGCAAATGTGTGTTGCCTGGCTGTGCTAATCTTAGAGAGATCCAGAAACACAGAGGCCCTCAGGAGGGCATCAATACATATATTATATATTATTATTTGCCATTGATCCTTTAGTAAGAAACGATCATAAGGCATAAAAAAAGCATAAGCATAAAAGCAAAAGGTAGAGTTGGTGGAATTCCACCAAATATTACACTGGAACCAGTTTTTCTTTTCCATTAAAAAATCTTTGATTAACCAAATTGCACATTTATTTCTGAAAGATATGACTTTTCCATTAAAACAGTCATTATATATGATTAAATCTTTAGCCAATAATACAATGAAGTTCTTGGATGCAAAGTGACTTATGAGCCTGTCGCACTTGATTGTTCCTTAAAGTGGAGCTCCATCCAAAAGGTGAAGCCCTGCTTGTTTTTACCCTCCACTGCCACATTTGGCAGGAAGCAAGTACTCAACAGCCCCCTCCTTCCCCCTGAAGTCTTTTGGGACACTTCAGAGGTCCCAGAAAACTAGGGCGCCATTCACAAGACGTATTGCGGCTTGCGCATACGCAGTAGGAAACCGGCTGTGGAGCCGTATATCTTCACTTCCGGTTTCTCTTACTTGATATGTCAGTGCCACAAACCCAAGGGCTAGTGAAGAACTAGCCCGGGTAAGGACGTTGCTGGACCCCGGGTGTCCTTATATTAAAAGTCAGCAGCTACAGTATTTGTAGCTGTTGACTTTTAATTTTTTGGGGGAAGCCTTGAGTTCCTCTTTAAATAGTCCACAAACCCTCCCATGGCAGCAGGTCATTGGGGTCATTGGGAGGAATAGTGCCCAATAATTGGTAACAGTGCAAGGTATAGCGCTACCTTGCTGGTGTCAGTAGGAAGAGTTGTGTGTAACTTGGTGTCACTGGAAGGAATGGTGCCTCATCGTTGGTGTCAATAGGAGGAATAGTGCCCCAAGGGCAAGATAAAGGCAAGCACAGGGCCACATCCAGCCCATGGGCCGCAGTTTGGAAACCACTGGACTAAGAAAAGACAAAGGATTGCTGGATAACTGTATACACCCATCCCACAATTACCCATCACCCTGACCCACTGTTGCAATTCCTTAAAAAGAGACCCTGTCACCAACCTAAATATTGCATGTAAAGCCACAGAAATATTGGGCACTGCACTTTGCAGTCAAGATTGAATTTTGCAATAATTAAACCCAAACATCAGGTAGAACAGTACCAGAATTTGTGTGAGATGAGCAATATCTGATCCATTCTTTTGTTATTTACCAACAAACGCAGCATTTTTGTTGTTGCATGCTTTCCTATGAACACAACCCATCACTTTCAGTCTCAGAGTGCCATCACTGCACTAGTGACCTGAACATTCCATGAGGCTGCCTAAATGCCCTCTGTCTGTATTGTTAACTTTTATGTACACAAACAGGAGTATTACATTACTTAAACTGGTTACTCTATTGTGCATACACACAAAGTGTTACTTCGGGGTGTATAAAGAAAACAGTCCGGAGGTGTATTAATGTGTGGAAACAAAGAAAACATGCCACAACCAGAAAATTAAGTCAGAATAGCAATTTTACCACCGAGGCCTTGCTACGCTATAATTTGCTTTAGGCTATTAAAGGATCACTCCACCTTTTTGGCAAATGATTATTATTATTTTTTTTTTTTTCAACAAGGGAACCCAATCAATAACTATGCCATTATTGATTATTACAAACAATGATCACTGTATACACTCTTAAGGGTTCCCATCCTCAGTGCTGAGAGACAATGGATGCAATGGAATGTTGGGTTGATGCAAGCATTCTGTAGACAGATACTGTAAGGAGTGGTCTCTGTGGCAACTAGATGCATCAAACATGCCCTACTAGGTCAAATTGATGCTTTAATTGAAATATGACTAGTAACTCATTCCCCGACATAAGGTAACCAGCACTATAGCCATGCAATGCTCGGGTCTTGGTTTAAATCCCACTGGGGTCAACATCAGCATCAAGTCTGTATTTTATATACGCTTGATTGCATGATTTCTTAACAGTGCTCCAATTACCTACTACACTAGCCTGTAAAACAGTTTTGGGATATGGAAAGGCCAAAGTGCACCCCCTTCCTCTTTATGAGCTGTGAACTAATTCACAGTATAGAGTGCAGGTCCTGCCCTTTTTGTCCCCCTCCCCTTCCACTGAAGAGTTCGAGATGACCATTTCTTCTGCCTACTCCTTGGCCTGGCCATACTGTACAGCATCACCATCATAGAAGTGAGCTCTCAAACCCTTCCACAGGTGTGGGTCCCTCATTTCCTCTGCTGCAGCATCTCTGAGCTCAGAACTACTGCAACAGAAGAAAGAGACCATATGAGAGGGTCTGAATCAACTAGGTGTGTCTTAGCAATGTCCTAGCAACAAGGCAGTATGAAATGATGATGCCATCTGAGATACTCTCGGCCAAACTTCTGAGGGTATGTAAATGGCCTACACCTATAGCAAGGGCATTATTTAACTTTGCTCAAAGATGCACAGTTAGGTTTTATCTAAAGGCATCCTTTACTTGCATAGGTAAATATGCTAACCTTTTAAGCTAGGCTCTACTTTCTCACCTTTTAAACTTCCCTATTGGCCAGTTAGGCTGCACAACATGTTAAAGAACCAATAGGAAGGTTCAGGGAGGATGAGTGATGAAGCAGGAAACGTAGGGTTCTGGACTTCAGCATTATAGTTATAATCTCCAGATCTGTAGATCACTTTGACATGCAATTTTGCACATTTGCTTACCCTCACCATCATAGGAATGAGCTCTCAAACCCCCAGGTTTATGCTAAACTGGATATTCTTATAATGAAGCTGAATTAAAACTTTGATGAATGGGGAAAGGGTTAGAATCTCTTGCTGGGTTATTATTGTTGTCTGTGTCTTACCTACAAGTATTTACCTTCAAAGAACATTGATTACTGAAGTTAGTACGAGGCATTGCTATACAGCACTGGTCCCCAAACTTCAGGCCCATGGGCCAGATAAGGCCCTTTGCTAGCAGTTATCTGGCCTTTGGGGCCCTGTTCCTCACACTCACACCAATGGTGGGGCAATGTTCTTCCCACTGACACCAACGGTGGGGAACGATTTCTACCAATGACGCCAATCACTAGGCACTATAACTCCCACCGGCACCAAGGATGGTGCAATTATTATTCCTCCCACTGACCCCCACAGCCTGAGATATTGTTTGTCACTAAAGCTGGGACATTTTCTACCCCATTGGCCACAATTCAGTCCCCCCTCAAGTCTGAAGGACAGTAAGCTGGTCCTTTCTTGAGAGAGAGTTTGGAGACCCCTGATATACAGCAACAAATCACAATACAGATTTCAGTCACTCGACTTCAGTACAATGAAATTGATTGGGTACCGTATATCAGTTTAACTTTTTCACTGGATAAAAAAAAACACAAATGTAGAACATAGACGTCTACAGATCTAGCTATAATGCTGAAGTTAAATTCAAAACTCAACATTTGGGCTGGAGTGCAACTTTGTTAAAATAAACACAAATTTATCAGAAAGGTGGAGTAACCCTCAAAAATAATCGGCATGTTGATGGAAAGAGGTGCTAAGGTAAAGTAACACAACCAACCAATGTTCTGCTGTTACAAAACCCACATTTTTAAAAAAGTGAATGCAAACATCGAATTGGTTGGTATGAGTTACAGAACCATATTGACTACGCCAGATGGCTCTGACTATTTGCTTTGGCCTTCTGATAACAAAATGCTGCTGGACTTATTTTCCCTTTGCAATGGTGGATGTCAAGGCAGGATCGCTGAGGCAAGTCATCTAAACATACAGTATCCACCAACACTGTATTAAAAAAAAATACAAAAAGTTGTTAATCTTTCAACAATCCTTCACTGACACAAATAAAGGGAAACCGCAAGCACTGTGGTGCAGAATGTACAGTACCGTAGGGGGGCAAGGACTGTGCATTTTCACGGTCTGTGCACATCAACACTTGAGTTCCTGAATAAAAAGTAAGATCACATGACTTTCATAACGCTGATACCTGTCAACACAGGTGAAGTCTGGTAAGAGGGAGTGAACTTACTGTGGTCTATGTAGAATGTTCTGCCGTCTATGTGTATTCTCTCCTCCCAGCCAGGCTGCAAAATAAGGAGTCACAACAATTCTTTAGAAAGACGAAGATTCACTCACATAATTAAAACAGATCTTTCTCTCATATAAAATAAAATATAAATAATATACATACATACACACACACACACCACTATATTGCCAAAAGTATTGGACTTAAGTAACTTAATGGCATCCCAGTCTTAGTCCGTAGAGTTCAATATTGAGTTGGCCCACCTTTTGCAGCTGTAACAGCTTCAACTCTCCTGGGAAGGCTGTCCACAAGGTTTAGGAGGGTGTCTATGGGAATGTTTTGGCCATTCTTCCAGAAGCGCATTTGTGAGGTCAGGCACTGATGTTGGATGAGAAGGCCTGGCTCGCAGTCTCCACTCTAATTCATGCCAAAGGTGTTTATCGGGTTGAGGGCAGGACTCTGTGCAGGCCAGTCAAGCTTCTCCACCCCAAACTCGCTCATTCCATGTCTTTATGGACCTTGCTTTGTGCACTGGTGGGCAGTCATGTTGGAAAAGGAAGGCGCCATCCCCAAACCGTTCCCACAAAGTTGGGAGCATGAAATTGTCCAAAATGTCTCGGTATGCTAACGCCTTAAGAGTTCCCTTCACTGGAACTAAGGAGCCAAACCCAACCCCTGAAAAACAACCCCACACCATAATCCCCCCTCCACCAAACTTTACACTTAGAACAATACAGTCAGGCAAGTACTGTTTTCCTGGCATCTGCCAAACCCCAACACGTCCATCAGATTGCCAGACAGAGAAGCGTGATTGGTCACTCCAGAAAACACGCTTTGCATTGCACTTGGTGATGTAAGGCTTGGATGCAGCTGCTTGACCATGGGAAACCCATTCCATGAAGCTCTCGATGTACTGTTGTTGGGCTAATCTGAAGACCACATGAAGTTTGGAGGCCTTTAGCTCTTGACTCTGCAGACAGTTGCCAACTTCTGCTCACTGACCCCCGCTCTGTCATTGCTGTTGTTTCCCAGTTGCTTCCACTTTGTTATAATACCACTAACAGTTGACCGTGGAATATTTAGTAGCCAGGAAATGTCACGGATGGATTTATTGCACAGGTGGCAACCTATCACGGTACCACGCTTGGAGTCACTGAGCTCCTGAGAGCGACCCATTCTTTCACAAATGTTTGTAGAAGCAGTCTGTAAGGCTGGCCATACATTATACAATTATCTGGAGATTTTTGGTTTTTAGATTTACCAAAAACCATATAATAGGAGACAAACCTAAACAACACTTTCAGTTGTATCTAATTAGGCAGGCCCTTGCACTACACAGTTGAAGGTAAATCTAAAGGAAATTGGGCAGAAAATTGGAAGATAATTGTATAATGTATGGCCAGCCTAAGGCTGGCCATACATTATACAATTTTCTTGAGATTTTTGGTTTAGATTTACCAAAAAACATATAATAGGAGGTCAAACCTAACAACACTTTCAGTTGTATCTAATTAGGCAGGCTCTTGCTCTACATAGTTGAAGGTAAATCTAAAGGAAATTGGGCAGAAATTGGACAGAAAATTGTATAGTGTATGGCCAGCCTAAGCCTAGGTGCTTGATTTTATACACCTATGGCCAAGGAGGTGATTGGAACACCTGAATCCAATGATTTGGAGGGCTGGCCCAAACCCCCTGGCAATACACACGTGCACACACACACACGCCAAACCATTATGACCACTGACAGGTAAAATTGATAATCTCATTACAATAGCCTCTAAAAGTGGGTGGAATGTATTAGGCAGCAAGTGAATGTGTTGTCCTTGAAGTGGATGGTGAAATTAGAAAAAATGGACAAGCTTAAGGATTTGAGCAACTTTTTACAAGGGCCAATGGTTAGATGAATGGGTCAGAGCAACTCAGAGCAAGGTCTTCATGTTCCCAGTTTGCAGTGGTCAGGACTACCAAAGTGCACCACGGAAGGAAAACCAGTGACAAAGTCATGGACAGCCAAGGCTCATTGATGTGCATGGGAAGCAAAGGATGGCTTGTGTAGTTTGATCCAATAGAACAGCTACTGTAGTTTGAGTTGCTGAAAAAAATGAAAAATTAAAATTGGTTTTAAGTGTCGGAACACACAATGCAATTGCAGTTTGTTGCTTGTGGGGCTGCGTAGCCGCAGACCAGTCAGGGTGCCCAAGCTGACTCATGCCCACAGCCAAAAGTATCTACAACAGGCACATGAGCATCAGAACTAGACCACAGAGAAGTAGAAGAAAGAGGCCTGGTCTGATGAATCACATTTTTTTTTCCATCATGTGTTTGGCTTGGTGTGGGTGAATCGCTTATCTGGGGAAGAGGTAGCACCAGGATGCAATATGAAAAGAAGGCAAGACGATGAAAGCAGTGGAATGCTTTGGGCAATGTTATGCTTGGAAATCTTGGTCCTGCTATTCACGTGGATGTTACTTTAGAGTCCGTGCTGCTTTGGTGGCAAAAGGAGGACCTATACTGTAAGCCCAGCAAGTGTGATGACGCACCATCTAGTGGGCATGTAAAGGACAGGCTGGATTCACAGGAAATGGGCAGAATGACAAAAGTGTTGCTCTGCCTTGAAGAGAAATGCCAGCTGGACTGGAGGAAGTAGGCGACAGCACTGGAGTATGGAAAGGTGAGCGAAGATTGTCATTATTAGAGGGACTATTGGACCTAATAGAAAAAAAAGCACTTGAAGCAATAGCACCTGTCTGGACAGCAGTAGTTCAGTGATGAGGCATTCCTTCATTCAGGACTGCAAGTGCCAGAGATGGCAAATACATACAACCTACTGCAAATCCTTTGTTACATGGCAGGCAGATTGATTTGCAGTAAAAATGCACCTGGTTCTGTTTGCAACTTTCTGGAGAAAAACTCCTCTGTTTGTTCCAAGTTATACATAATTTAATCAAAAACCTTCAGCCCACACCGATACTCACTGGAAGAGGACCCAAATCGTTTGGATTTAATGAAGCTTTTGTTCGCATGTGAACTGGAAATTTTAACCTCGGGTCCTCCTGTGAAATGAAATGGTTCAATTAGTGATTTTTTTTTTTTTTGTAAACATTCATACAGAAGGAACTTTGTTGAAAACACAAGCCTTTCTCCAATGTATTATTTTGTCTAAAACAAATCCTTATAGATCTCTAAGGATCCAACTAAAACACTCTTTACAGCTTGCAAGATTGGAAGAGGAGACGCTCTATAAGAGTTGTATTGCTGTCTGTGTACCAATCAGTTAGATTTCCCATCACTTAGGGATCGTTCACACTTGACTGTTTTACCAGCTCTTGCCAAACGCCCCTATAGCGTTTGGCAAGCGTTGGTCCAGCATTTGCAGAGTGTTTTTTAACGCTTGGCAAACGCTCCGCAAACACCGCATGCACAGTTCAGCGGCGGTTGCTAGGCGTGTGCCGAGCGTTAAAATGCCCCACAAATGCCTATAATGAAGTTTGGATAGTGTTACCGCTCCACAAACGCCCCGCAACCGCGTCGCAAACCGCACCACAAACGCCGGCCGGGCGTTTGCGGAGCGGCACCATAGAACTAGAATAGGAGGCTTCAAAGCCTCCTGACTCAACCAGAGGCATCCGTTTTGCCGCACCGCGATGCGACGCTAACGCTCCCGTTAGAACAGCACCATGTGCTGCAATGGGCAGAATTGTCCGAGGCATTTGGGAAGCGGTAAAAACGATTCCCAAATGCCTTTCTGCCGCTTGAAAACAAGGCTAGTGTGAACATAGCCTTACTGTCCCAAAGACAATGATGAGCTTGGATATGTTGGGACTAGAATCATGTATGCAAGCATGTCAGAAAGCTGAATGCCAATTATCTGCAGCTGGGGCATTCCCCACCTCAGCCACATGTATTCAAGCCCCTTGTTGCAGGACTTACACTGAACGACTTACACACATGGGTTCAAATCCTGGTCCGAACATGCCTGGGCACATCACTAATTGATAGAAGTGAGTGGATGTCTCCCCAAAGTGAGGGGAAATCCCATCTTGGACCGCTGTTATCAGTGGAGGATATCCCCTCTATTCCTGCCCCCATGACAACTAAAAAGTTTTGGATTTCAGCTCACTATGAAAATACTTTCCAATAGAAGCAGCACAAATATTTAAAAGAGGTTCCAATCCCTCCCTAGTCTAAAGTTAAAGATTATGTAGATCTGAAGCATCAGTGAAAAGTCAGATGTCATCTTCATACTTGTTTTACATCATTGATAAAGCGTATTCAAGCAAGAGGGCAATCATGAAAAGCCAGGAAACTATGGCAATCAATGGACAATCTGATTTTTGTCTCATGCCTGGTTTCCTTTAAAAAAATCTGTCTAATTTTGAAGGGCTTTTTATATGAATACAGGATGTTTTCCTACATCAACAACCCAGGGTTGGGTCTGTCATTTGGAGGCATGCTGCAGGTGTGTTCATCCCGATGGGCGTATCTCACTCAGCTTCGTCAGGACCCTGACGAAGCTGAGTGAGATACGCCCGTCGGCGAATTGTGATGACGTCATACGTCAGATACGTCACTTCCATTCGGACGCATTGGAGCCACACACGCAGTCCTCCAGGGGAAGCGGCAATACACGCTAGCCACAAGCGATGCAAGGCTGCACAAGTACCAGGATGGGAGCGGAGCCCGTTTACTTGTAGTTCCGATGGTGGCGGCTGCCTCCGGGACCATGGGCAGTTATCACTATGAAGGAAATTCTGTAAGAGTATCACCTAAGGCACGGGTGGATGGGGACATCATGTCAAATCATCTGAAGGTGCATCGCACCCTATGTTTATTACAAGGCACGGATGATCCTGTATTTCACTCTACAACATTATCATTAAGGAGGTGTGCAGCCCGCATGTTGCGGTGAAGAACCCCCTTCTGGCAGGGCCCTGCCATTTCTACAATAGTATGGAAGTCATCCAGTGACAGAACTATGGCTATCAAGTTCATTTTATCCAGTATCATAGACATGACTGCTGCTGTTTGATATCCCACCACCTACTCTTGCTATATTCACCTACCGTAACTACTATCTTGTGGAGGCAGATTTTCTCTATATTCATATTTTTCTACTGTCTATATACACCTGCAAAGGTTTATTGGACTACTGTATCCGCAACCTGGTACATATGATCAGCCATATACTGCATTGTTTGCTATGCCATTTGGTACAATTTTTTTGAAACACCCCCTGCTTGGTGGTGTAACCATTGTATCAGTGCTGCATTTGTATTAGACACATCGTCACTATATCTGCAGCACTCCATTACTTTGACCGGTCATGCCGTCTGGATTTAAGTGATTTTAGGTCAATTTTGATATATTATCTCATACTGAGGTGATGGCGAACTGAGGTATTTACCTTATATGTCCAATTGTGTAACAAAGCATCATTTTTTTAAATTACTTTTGAGCATCGCATTCTGTCCATAATGTAACCACTTTTCTGTGAATCTCTTTTCACGCTCCCTTTTTTGCTGCATGGTGTTTTGGTTACTGGGCAG